TTCATCCTACTGTGCAACTAGTGTTAGTCGATCATAACAATGCTTCGTCGTCGTCAGGATGCTCGGAAAGAGTGCGGAAATGCTGCAGTTACACAGTCGCTTTCTACATAAGTTGGCGTACATTGTCTCCGGGGCCACTGAGTTTATTTTGTGGTAGAAATCTCACGACAATGGATTCTCCTGTTGACGTTCACTTGTAAAGGTGATATTACTGATGGGGAGGCATGCGTGTAGTATGCGTTGTTCTTGGAAATTCGCTTTGCGTTTCTTGAAAAGGGGAGATCTGTTGCGGAATTTGTGGAGTCGCTCTGTAGCATTTGCAATGAATGTTTGGCGTCAATAAATATCCAGGAAAGTTCAAGAAGACACGCTCAAGAGAAGATGGATGTCCAGTTTTCGTAAATAAGATGCACATGAGAGTTTTGCTTCCCTGTCCAATAGTCTGTAACCGGTCAGTTGGTATTTTCCAATAAATAACTCCACAGCGAAGGTCTTCTTTCTTTCACACTTACGTTCAAATAGTTTGTTGTGTGCCCTGGCTGAGTGGGAAGGTGATTTCCATCCTATTAGTACACCGTGCATCTGAGCACTAGTGACACCAAAAGTGTGTGTGCGAAAGGTTCAGTTTAGGTGAGCTTATGATCAGACATGTATGACTGACAAGGATCTTTGGTGAATTACGTGATTGTAGCTACACAACTGTGAGATACGATATGGGGGGTGTTTTTCCACATTGGCTTTGTCACACGTTGGCTTTGTTAATCTAGTCATATAGGATGTTTCTTTGGGAATCGAAAAAGTTGACCTCGTGGGGGAAGGCTTGTCACGCAAAAGGATGTGCATTTCCAACCAATACAGGCCAGTTTGGGGATGTCGAACTGCTTGATGAGCACAGCAAACACGTACATCGACCTTCTCATGCGTAGCAGCATACCTGCTCCATAGATAAAGTTAATTATACGAAGCACAACGCGAAAGACTCACTCACGTGATGAACCGGATGCTTAAATCAAAAGACTTTCACTCACGTGATGAACCGGATGCTTAAATAAAAATGCAAATGCGTGTGAATTAACCGCAATGTGCCAATGTCGCGTTCGATAAGAAATGAACATATATGCCAGACAAAATAAATCATTTTTATGAATGTGACCACCACGTAATCATTTATGACTGATTGTGATGTACTATGGGGTAAGTAATGGGAAATATCCAATGGCTTCTTACTATGGGATGAGTATAATTTATATGCAAAATTTCATCCAGAGAATGCGACCTGAATAGTTGCGACCACTCTGAACGCAACGTAAGTGAGTAACAATGTTTGGGGTGTGAGATAGTTCAATAATAATAATAATGTAGTTGGCCAACTACGATACTTATCGAATGGTCTTTTTTCAGATGCGTTTTTAGTAGCTGACAGGCTATCAGTTTGCCTTCGAGATTCTGTTGAAAAACGTCGTGACGTTTACCATAAAATAAGAAGTGTGTTTAGCTTGTCACCATCATATCCAACAGCAGGCCCGACAAACAGCTCTATGAAAGCGCAACCCAAACCAGCTCGATTGCAGGCCCATCCCGGATGAGTGACCTACATTGTTAGGACATCACTTGAGTCGGATTGCTGATAGGCAAGTAAGTTTCCTGTGTTATCATGTTGAGTAAGCAAAGTACGTACGTAGCTAACAATAATGACAAACGTCGCGCTTTGGTGAAATTCGACGTGTCGTTGCATTTAAATTGACGAGTGCGGTGTGCCTGTTGATGGCACGGCACACGTGATCATGTATGTAATGTATGCTGTTTACCAATGAATGGTCCTAAGCTATTATACCCCGTCGACCATTGTCCATTAGCAAGTTCTGACGCTGATTTGAAGCGACAGGCACACAGATCGTTCAGTAAAACCTCTAATTGGAGGGTTTTTTCTACCTTAACATATCGGACAACGCGCGTGTTCAAATACACCAAATTCTGCTGTATATATGCTCCGGTCATTCTTTCCCATCCAAATTACTGGGGGCTTCCTTAGCACGCCGCTCAGCTGCGCTTCTCACCAGCCTGCACACGAAGTCTGCTGTGCAGTGTGATCCAGTAAGAGAATCAGACTGGAATTCAGTAGTGACAAGCAAAATTTGGTGTCACACGGGTTATGGATCGATCGGCCAGGACTAATTCCTTGCTTTTGGGAATTCTTCAAATCCAGCCTCTTCGACGGTGATAACAAGGTAGGAGGGAAATGTCGTACGCAGCGCCCAAACCATTCACACACACACACACACACACTTCTTTGCCTTGTCCGATAAATCCGATCAGATAAATTCGTTCCCAATTTCATGTGCTTTCCTGACTATCAGCAACATTTGAAAGGGACTTTTAGACTGGAATTCGAAAATCCGGATAAATGTGAACAAGTCCGAAGCTGTCAAACATGAGTGATTCACCAACTTACTGGAAGGCATCAACAGAGTGTTCTAATGTTGTCCTGCCCCATTATTTGCTAAAATTCGTTAAACTTTACTGCATGGAGAATTTATCTGCTTCGGTCGCAATAATTATCCTGCTGGATTGCAGACGTCAAACATGGATTAACACGACGGCAGAGGCTAACTAAGGTTGCAGTGCTGTGCCTGGGGAACTGTTGAACCGTAGATCTACTCCAACATTACAGCCGCCGTACACGAGAAAAAGCAGTTGACGCAATCAGGATCGGTGCCTCCATATGAGTCATGAAAAGCTGGAATCGATTCATACAACCTCGAAGTGTTGTCTAAACTAACCGAAATCCCTATGTATTTCAAGTTGTCTTATTTCACGCTGCCTCCGGTTACTGTCCCTCCCGACACTCACTAGGGATTGAATAGTAATTTTAGAGCTTGCAAAAGACTCGTGTATCCAGAGCCATATGACAATCGAGGAGGTGCATAATTCTGAATTTCACATATTGAGTGTACTCTTCCCAACTGTTTGTGACTGCATTTAGGAGCTTGGTTTGCTGAAACGCTTGCTTTATTTGGTGTTCCCTCAGGTCAGTCGCTTCTGGTGAATAATAAAAATAATATTCGTTAGTATTTTACTACTCCGTTAGCAGCGATATCTTTGTTGTATCTGTCCCTCTATCCTTTTCTCGTCTTCCCCACGGTTGACAGTTAGCTGAAGTGCACAGAGCTCCCTATTCGTAGATTTCGAGGCTGTAGGTGATCTTGATCGCTTTCAGCTGCATTTTCTGGACCTACAATTAATGGTGAATTATTTGTACAAAAATCCACTTTGCATCATTCACTGAATGTGCATTTCAGTGGGTGTGCCACAACATTTTCTACTTACGATAAGGGGCCGGTGGTATTGTAGAAAGTTATGGGGTTGGATGGAAATCCGATCTCAAAAAGCTAACTGTTTATACACACAGAAATCTCTATCTAGTGTGTAATAATCACCGTTGTGTTTTCTTTAACACTTTTGTGAAAACACTTCAATTTCCCATCCAGTTTAGGCTTGGAAAATCGGGTATTAGTCGCTTGAATCAGGTGTCTCAAAAGGCTTGAATGTATCAGCTGCGAGCGACCAAGATTTGGACGCATATTCCCAAAGCTACTGGTCCTAAATGCTTACCAAAAGATTACTTGGCAAGTTCTCTGTAGATGTTGTTGTTTGATGGAACTTTAAATTGTATAATTTACATCTGGCTCGCTTGAACAGTCTTCCTTCAGGCCTGACGTCTTTAACTCAGTGCGTTCAAAAAACGGGAGAACATAGACCCGCATCTGTGAACAACACCAAAAATGGGAGAACATAGACCCGCATCTGTGAACAAGATTGAGAACTATACAAATATGTTCAATCTGCGTACAGAATAGATGCTATGTCACCCTCAACGTCATCCTCCCCACATATCAATCAAAAAAGGTAACTAAGTGATCTATACGATGATGCACATTTTTTGCATGAGAATCCTAATGTGAGACCATGGAGACGTCTAGATCCAGTCTACCAATCAGGGCAGCTAATTAATCAGGAAAGTAAAATCCATGTCGTTTTAAGAACGGTTTCCTCTTACTGAACGATACCACGAAGGTGGTATCAACAGATAGGTAAAATATGTTTGGTTCTATCCCTTCGTGTCATTCATTTTTATTGTAAGCAGCAAACACCGTGTCGAACAAACATAGGTTTGGCAAAAAAGAACACTGCTTACGAGTGACACAGTAACCATAATCTTCATCATCGTCTCCTTCTTCATAACACTTCGCATCACCAACACCACTGTCATCACCAATGCCATCGTCACCACCGACGCCACCGCCACCGCCACCGGCACCTTCGCCGCCACCACCGCCACCGCCACCGCCAACTTCGCCACCGCCACCGCCAACTTCGCCGCCACCACCGCCACCGCCACCGGCACCTTCGCCACCGCCACCGCCACCGCCACCGCCACCGCCAACTTCGCCGCCACCACCGCCACCGGCACCGCCACCGCCACCTCCAACACCACCGGTTCCGTCACTGTCACCATAATCATAAGAGTAGCCATCATCACCATCAACACCACCGTCACCACCGTCACCACCATCGCCGCTCGAGCCATCACCAACACTGCTGTCACCTCCACCTTCATCGGTTTCGAATGCGCCAAAACCTTCATAAAGAAGAATATAATAGCCCTATCAGATACCCCCGAATTTTGTGAAAATGACTCCGTCAATCAAACCCCAAAATAAATTCAAAAACACCGTTTAAAAAAACAGCTGAGAAACAGCAAAATTGTCTTGACACGGATAATAATCAAGTAAAAGGACGCGTTTAAATTGCCCTGTAGGAGAACAAAAGGTAGCGCTTCAGTATGCGAGGAATGTGACACTATGGAGAAGCGACTATTAGTAGATAATACCTATCATTTAAAGACGAACCCAGCTGTTAGGTTCATGAGATGTAAAAACAGTTCGTCATACTCTCTGACATAGTTACGCCGACATAGTGAACGACGACTATTTCTATGGTAGAATCTACGTTAGACATTTAATAAACTGCGAAACTAAGGTTTATTCCAGCTGGTTCATGCGTTGACCTATGAATTAATTAAAAGCTCTACCCCAAAAATTGTGCTTTTTTATATGTTTGAAGGTCACCACCTGTCAGAATTCTGACCTTCTCATCAGTAGGGCTAAATGGTTTTCGGAGCTCGAGTTTTGTTCTTCAGTCCTAAACAGACAGTGGACAAAGCAGTTGGGTTTTCTCACGTGCTTTGTAGCGAGCTCCCTTAATTATGTGTCAAGACCGCTCTAAGATCAAATTCAAGTAGATTTCAATCAACGGAATAAGTAAATAAGGCAAGCGTCCTCATTTTGTATTCCCGCGCGAAGATGTGTTAAATGAAACTGTCAAGTAACACTTTTTAGCAATGCTCTAATAACCACTAGCTCGCGTGGGCTAACTGGAGGTCCGCCGAGCATGGAAATTGGCTTGCAAACGTTTCATCATCACGTGAAGAGACATCTTCATTGCGCTGATCAACAACCAGGGGCCACTTTTCTTCAACGTCCATAACGCTCACCTTTCGTAAGCGGATTCGCTGGAACACAGACCGTCCTAGTATTTGTATGCAGTTGATATCTGAGGATTAACAATCTTTTTGTGGAGGTTTCGTTCTGTAAGTGAAGCCAATCTATGCTGAAAAGCCGAGAAGCACTGTACAGCTGTTTCATCCTTATTGGGAATCATCAGCAGTGCGCATCTCACGAAACTCCGAAGAGTCTCGAACCCGCGACCTCCCGGCTAGTAGCTTGAAAACTTAATCGTTCGGCCACGAGTGGCTGACCATCAGCATAGATTGGCTTCATTTACAGGACGAAAGCTCCACAAAAATCCCAAATCTCCCCACACTATCAACAATATCTAAGTAGCTCAATGGAAGAATAAACTTCACCGGATGAGTAAAACTCCTATCTGAGAAGTCGTTACTCGAGGAGCCAGTCAACACTGGCTGGTCAACCGCTCGTGGCCGAACGGTTAAGTTTTCAAGCTACTAGTCGGGAGGTCGCGGGTTCGAGACTCTTCAGAGTTTCGTGAGATGCGCACTACTGATGATTCCCAGTAAGGATGAAACAGCTGTACAGTTCTCGGCTTTTCAGCATAGATTTGCTTCACTTACAGGACGAAATCTCCACAAAAATCCCATATCTCTTCATGCTACCAACGACTAACAATCTGTGTGACAAGTCCTTCATACTAACATACCATTCGTTTGCATTATCGGCGTAAAACGTTTCATTTCACCTGAAACGCCTCGAGTAAGACAAATCGTCTAATTAAACACGATTCAAATGTAGGCTGAAGTAGACATTCTTGCCGGTAAGAGTAGATATTGCCTCGTTTCCTTCACACATTTGTTCGCAAAAATACAGGTGAGGCATCTTTTGGGCGTATAGGGGACCTTTATTGGATTACTATTGGTTTTTTTGGATAGAATCGTCCAGTTTTAGATTAAGCTGTCGCCATTATAGAATGTACACTGGCCCAGTCGCTTGAATTTTCCACTGGATTCATCAGAAGACCAGAACTTATAGAGGCTTTGAACCAACTTTAATACATTTTGCACCAAAAACTGTTTTAGGGACTGGTGGTAATCACCCAAAAAAGAGGTTGCCTAAGAGGACCTGCAATTTTGTGAAGCTAACCTTATTTAAACTGTGGTTTTTCGTTTTCAACTGCCTAGTTTCGTCAGCGTCCCCCACTGAGAATAGTGCACGGTTAGGCCGGTGAAACACCTAAAAGGTTACCTTACTTAAAGTGGTACACCATGAAAGTTACTGTGTTCCAAAAATGGTTGTTGAGCTCTCGACACAGGTAGATTTATCGCAGAATTTCTGGTTGGGTACATTACTAATTCTTTTCAATTAAAAATCGATGCAAACTTGTTAAGCCAGTAAACTAGTTATCCTGAATTACAGTCATCCATACGTATATATGTTGGCTCTTCGTACGCCACAGTCCTCCATTCCGAACCCGGTTGATATGACGTTCCTCCATATATATATATACATATATATATATATATACATATATATATATATACTGTGTGACTTGCGACCAAAATGAACGACCTGTGAGACAAACACGTGTCGCCCATGTGCTGCTATGTCAGAAGGCACTTGAATGGGAAAGTACATGTCGTCTCTTACTTCACTGCTGCACATAACCTTGTTTGGTAGGCGGATTCAGTACGGTCCACCCGCCAAGTTTCCAGGCCTATAGGGTGAGCCCATGCCTTGAGGGTACAGTACCGACAACCTGTACACACGATCCGATAGAGTTTACGTGTACTGTAGCCTCGTTGGGGATGGAAAAGCGAAACACACAAGAAACTCGCTCTGGTTTGGTCTGTATGGTACCCATTGACTGGATCGGTAAGGTCTAAGCAGGTTTTAAGTGGAGAGTTCATGAACTGTTTACCACTAAAATCGATCTATATCCACCTCAGATAGACAACCATTCATGCGCCCACTAGTAGTTTTGCGACTTAGATGCATTTTTTGTGAATGTTGCATTTTTGAATCGATTTGTGGATTTTGCTGGCCAACAGATAACCTTTGCTCAAAGGTATACCTGCTCTAAAAGCAAAATCTGGAAGTAATACGCGCGCTTTATTTTGTCCCCAGGACAAGGTGGCACCGATTTTTCTTGAGGGAACAGTATCCGCAAGAATGCTGAAAGCGCTTCAACGACCGGCTTTGCCTCTCTTCAGGTTCATCAGGTGTGAGAAGTCCCCAAAGTTCTCTCAACCTATTTTTTACTTGAACCTAGATTGGACGCAATTCAAGAATTATACTCATTCGAACACTAATTGGGTTTTGACAGACGAACCAACTGAATTGCAGCTGAATCTCCTATTTATCACATCCTTCAACGAAATGGGCTGCACGAAGACCTCCTCATGTTTTATCCAATAAGACATTCAAGATAAGACTGTATATTTTCTTGATGAACGGATCTTTCATGCGAAAATCTAATTAAGGTTAATGGAAAAAGATTCTCTTTCACTTATTCAACTCCTCCTTCACCAAAAAATTCCAAACAATCCCACCTCCATTATCAGCTGCAGGGTCCAATATTGTTTCCATGCCTTGGAAATTTATTGGTCAGATTGCAAATCGCAAACAATTGCAACTGCTAATGACGTTTGATGTCCTAACCGAAAATATCCTAGGTTTACAGTCAGTCTACACCGAGAAGCCGAGTATCATTTTAAAACTATTTCATTTTATTGGTAGTTATCCGCAGTGTGCATTTCATGAATATGTACGGAAACTCTGACACCCAGTATTGTACCCCTCAACGTCCGACCAGTGATTTGCTTGTGCTTTTAAAGGTTTCAGAGTTAACGTCCTTTCGTCATTAGGCTTACACCGTGTGATTCGGTGTGAATTGGCTACGCCCGGAAACCGTGTAATCGATTCATCTTATTGGAAGCAGGCGAAATAGGGTTTTTCGAGTGCCTATAGGTGGTTGTCAGCTGCTAGTTTTAAAAAGTCGTGTATATAGGCATTTGAGGACTGATACTAAAGAGCCAGACATGGATCCTAATTTGTCATCCGCTCCTCTACGTGAGCTTCTCGAGTAGAAGGTATGGAGGTTAATCGAAACACTCAAAAATGCTACCAGTTGGCAGACTTAGTTAACTTTGGACAGTAAAAAATTCGATATTTTCTCATGCAACGTTGTGCAGAATGAAATCCCAGTTGAAAATAACCAAATCTCCTCACACTACCAACAACTTACAAGTAGTTCGGAGGAAGAATAATTTCACAAGACGGACGAAAATTCCAAAGAAGTCACTCAAGGGCCAGCCCGTACTTGACCACCATTGAAGAATGAGTGGTGCTATATTCTGTTTAACTGGCAGCCAGTTACTCGTGTCCAAACCGCTAGCAGGTAGATCTGGAGTTCAAAACTCACTTGAGTTTCGTGACATGCGTACTGATGATGATTCCCCATACGGTTGAAATCTCGATTGGAAAATCTGGAATTCTACCAAACGGGGCGAAATCGCCTTCATTTTGGTCGCTCAGGTTCATACATTTCTCAGTTTCTCTCCGCTTTAATCCTGCCTTACCGATTATGTGGTGAGTTTGTGGGCGTCAACGAGAAGAAATAACCTTCTGTTTGTTTAAGTTCACTGAGTACTTAGCTAAATGAAGCGACCATATTTATGCGTGAGATTTTCCGCGGAGGTCTAAGCTGACGTCCCCCACTCTGTCCGTTTCCAGTTCGAACTTGTCTGTGAGCACATCACTGTTCACTGGTGTTCCTACAATATTCCTCTAGAATACGGACCTCTCGTTTATCGGAGTTGTTGGGCAAAATGCAATCCCTAAAAAAGGCCAAGAATCGTCATCGTTCTGGCCCGACCAGCCCCCATCAAATGCCGATTTCTCTGGAAAATCAGAAAATGTGGACAGAGCTTTGTACGGAAATCCGTTTATTAGTAGCGACGTTTGGTGGGGATATTCAAACTTCAAACCAATCCAGATTGTGCACCACTGGTAATGACCTTGACTATGAGTAGCTGAACGTGAAGTGCACATGAATGCACCAGATCGTGCGATCTCACTTAAAGAATGGACCCGGAGTAGGTTAATGGAAGAACATTAAAAAACTGAATCGGTTTTAAACCCATCAATTGCCTATCTATCACCTTAGCTGTACAGACCAATCTGCTCTGCGAGATAAGGTATTTATGCTACCCAGAGTTAAAGTTCGGATTGTTTTCACCGGTCAAAAAGACCCAAAGGATGCTGTTTGACTATTGTAAAGCTGACAAAAAGCAACCAGGCGAAAGGACCAGTGGGATTATCGGAATTCAATAATGACAGAAAGTTTCTGATTTAGGACTCTCTGAAAGTGCGCGCGTCTCAAGTAAAAGATGGTCACTGCAGACTACCCGAATCGGAGAAGCACAGACTTGCTCAATTGGTCAAGCAATAGGATACCTTCAGTTAATTGTTTGGTGAATATGAAGCACACCGGAACCCATAAACTGTACTGGAATATGACGGAAAATCGAGTTTATACGATGCCAGAAGTTCCATTACACAAGGTGGCTTCAGCAAGAAACGGCCCCACAAAGCTCACACCATTTTGACCAATCCCAAGGAACAGAATCACCAATGTCCCATCTTTCCTTAATTAGATGATTTCGCAAAGTACTTCAATAAAGCAAACAAAGCGAACTGTTACGTTCACAAAGTGGAGATGGTTTGCTGGGAACTTCTGAACAGCACCAACGCCGCTCAGTTGAAACTGTCTAAGTCAAGTAAACACGTGTTTGGTAATTGGGACGCATACGCTACAAGCATACGTTTTCAATAGGGACTCGCCAGTTAAATACACATAAATAAGAGGATGTTAGAGCGGACCTCCGAGACTTTTATCCTGAGAACTCGCTGGGACACTGCATTGTCATACTGCCCTATCGGTAATTCTTCTGTGCTTCATCAGCGGCTAACACTTTTTTCTCCAAGCACACCATTATCTCAGAGATAAATGTTTTGAGTTGCAACAATAAATTTGAAAATGACCTTGAGTAAATTTAAGTCCCGTCTATAGATATAACACTTTTTCATAAACCTAAAAAATTCGATTCCTATCAGACTTTGCAGTGTTGAGGTTCCACAATTTCGCACCAATCCTACACAAGTTTGTGCTTGACCAAAGAGGTCACTAACGCAATAGTGATGCTCTGTGCAAAAGTGTCTGAACATCGTGAAATACACTCATTTTGATCATCATAGAGAACATAGCTAAATTCCTCGTTTATAACAATATTAGACTGAATGTGCTGCAAAACGGTCTAGTTATGTTTCAGTTGGAATACCATTAGGGATATCGCAGTACACTGTCTCCAAGGCACACATTATTCATAGGGTTGACGGAAACTCGGTGACTGCGCCTACTTCATAGGCCCTAAGCGGTGCGAAGCCGGTCTTGGGCTGTTGAAAGTGGTGCCGTCCGTCGGGACGGCTTTTAACTCCGCCCGTGCATCACCAACTTTTTATTGTATTCTTACACCTTAACCACAGTTCTTGGTGTGGCGAAAACTGATTTTGAAAAAAAAGTTACTTTTGAACAGTTTACGCAAAACAAACACCTACTTACCACATGCGGGAATGAACCAAGATGAGAGCTTATCTGAAATAAACAGTAAAGAAATGCCGGAAAATTGAAAATAAGGAATCCTGCGTGTTTAATTGTGTACTGAACCGATTTGGATATTGTATCATAATATTTCCTAAAGAAGTTATTTGTCATCCAACTGGGTAAACCTCTTCATGGGAGAATGGACCGTAGGTATGAAAAATAGAACATCGTAATTAAACTTTCATTTGATTATTGATTCCTTAGCGTTTTAGGAATATGGACAGCTGTCAGCCCAAAACCTCGTCACCTTATCAGAAAAATGTATAAACATTTACGCTGGAAATCAGCACACCAGAAAACTACTCATGGCTGATTAAGCGAGATTTTGATAGAACTAAGAGCCAAGCCTTGCCCGCATAGCAAAGTGATTGAGCGTCCTAGTTGAGGTAAAGTCTAACTGCTTTGTTGATAGTTTTGTTTATGACGTGTGTGGGTTAGACCAATCTGGAGTGAAATATTGGCACAAGAGCTTTGTTGCATTAGTCACGTAAGGTGCACATTCTCACCGGCAAGTTTAATTCACACCTCCATTGGTTCGACCACGTTTGACCATCTACGGTGCTTAGTTGGGAACTGGCGTGAGCGCTGATTTATGGTCCTCTACCTAACAGGGCTTCTTGGTTAATACGAACTTGGGAAATGATCAGCATTCACTGTAGCCACCAAAATGGTACATCGGTGATATTAGGTATCTGATAAAACTCGGATAGCACCCCTTGATATTGAATATCAAACCGTAAATACAAACGGGCCAAGATAAGGAAAGCTATACACTGCAGAGTAGACAGATAGTCACCACTCTGTTTTTGTCACGGAAGATTCTTTTTCATTAGATTCAAGCATACTGGTTTTCGAGAGCTAGTAACCAAAATGTCATCTGAAGCAGTCGCTCACTTTCGCCTTGTTACATAGAGAAATTTGCGTCCTTCTTTTAGTTAGTCTGTCAAGATACTTGCTACACACGAATCTCTCCATAACATTGTATCCGTTCCCAAATGTTGAAGTTTAGGGTGCTCTTTTTCTGCATCTTATTTTGCAATCAAAATGAAGACAATGATTCAGTGTTTACGCTGCAAGTATCAACTTTGGTCTGATAAAATACAGAATACTCTCGTAATCTAAGTCTAGGGAAAATGGAGGAGAAACTGTATGTTCTAAATATATTTTTCTATGAAGGATAGCCAGTCAGCTGAATTTACTGGACACGGATCATGTGTAAGACGTAAGGGATGATCGGAAGGCTGGGAAGGAGCTCTCGACACATGTGAGCGATCTGCATTTTGCCTTGAAGCCCAGGTTGTGATAATAAGAAATATTGCGCCGAAGTATCCTCGTTATGCAAAACGAGGCCAATGTGGTAATTTAGTCGGCGAGCTGAACCACCTCCTCGTGGTGCTGACCGGGTAGCCTGGACGTCAGCCTGGGTAAGTCAGGAGTTCAGCAACTCCAGACAGGGCCGGCCACCATATTTATTTTCAATTTGCTGGTTACCTTCGACAATGTACATCACAAATCATCCGGCGCCACCACACTAGTTCCAACCAGTAAAGGGAGAAGCTCGTGGAGTATACGGGTGAGGTATGTGGCAAGTGCTGCAAATCAAAAGCTGGCTTGGTAGCCCACCATCGAGTTCACGATAATGGAAGATTTGGTATGAACATGGTTGCCCAATTGGTCTGCGCTGATCGTTCCCGTCTTTTTCCGACAAAGTTTGGCCTAAGTCAACATCGCCGGCACGCATACCCTACCCAGTATAATGACGATAAGCTAGGCCGAGTGAAGTATCCGGTACGCGCTGGTCCCAACAAGAGTCACAATCACTCTTGCGCTTGGTAAATCGTGTATATTCGTTTTGTGGTACGCAAACCGCGCAGTTTGAGAGATTGGAGCAGTATTTTCCTGGTCAATCAGCATCAAAACCAGGTTACGGGTGCTTAACTGGCAAGCACAACAGAACGAATCACCTGGTGGACCTGAACTAATAGTAGCTTACTCGTCAGAAGGCGATGACTACAGTGTCTGGTTTAAACAACCGTGAATCGCCTCGTGTCACACTTGGAATCCCATGGTAACATTTGCTTACTATAGTTGGTCTTCTGGCATTTGCCCGAGTGTTGCATCCTGGCATCGTGATACCGCAGCAAGTTCTGTCGCTTCTGGACTTCGGCGCCTCCGGGACATTTCCATTCACCTGGAAAACTGTATCCCAACGCCGTCATCAGTTGGCCCATTGGATACCGGTCAACCGCAAGTAGGTCTGCCGAGCTAACTACACCGCTATCCAGACACCATGCTACCAAAAACGGAATAATGCAGCGTCTGCTGTGTTTGATGGCCATGGAAGGATCTATACGAAGGTAACTTTGGCCGGTGGACGCCGGGCAGTATTGGAAACAGGTGCTCTCAATTTCAAAACACGTGGATAGCCGGCCAAGTCGCGTAGCAGTACCATCCGAATAGAGCTTGATCGAGCCAATTACAGAAGAGGGAGTCGGCCATACGATCCATCTAATGGGCTATTCGTCCCAGCCCTGGATAAGTTCACGCCCAGGATGTTCCGCCGGTTCAGTGATAACGCGCTCGCTGGGTATTTCAACTTATTCTTATTATCTGTTTCTGACATCTTTGTCGTGGCTTTATTACGCAAGTTCCGAAGGTCCCAAATCCAACTTCACCGGACCGACTGAGATAAATATCCGCGTCATCCATTTTCGTCCGTTGCTTTCTTTAGGTGGTTACTGATCGCTGGAGTCGTAGATTGCAACTGCCTTCACTCCAGTTTGCATTTCTACATCAAGACGGTTTTCTCAAAGCTATATCACTGTTACATGCCCTGTTTCGTCACTCTTCAGCAACGTCTTTTAACCTCTGCTTGGTGTTCGTTGATATCTCGAAAGCGTTTGATTCGCTTTCGCACGACATAATCATCAGATCTGCTGAAATATTTGGAGCATCTTCAGGCTTAGTGGTCAACAATTCTGCATTTGGCAAGATTGTTTGGGATCCCAGCCTTCCGGTCCGAGCCCATGGTTCATGCGTAAACACCAAGGAGGAGCTGGTGGCTGCTTGGAGTGATAGTCTGCACAACAGAGCTGACCATCGTGGTTTACGAGAGTTGGCCGCTTGGCCTCTTTCTAATCCATGGCTTGTATTTTTAGAACGAGTGCCTCCTCAGATATTTATCCGTGGTATCCGGCTCCGATGCAAGTTGCTCAGAATGAGAGTTAGAGGCGCTCGGCATGGTCATGGTGGCCAGATGATCTTCTGACGTGGAAATTGTGGCCAACAGGAGAGTATGGTGCACAGTTTGCGGTCCGGCTGAATCACGTACGATGCCAGTTCCTCTTCTCATAACCGGGTTGCAAGGAAATTCGCAAAATGTCTTTACCGCTTGGGTTACACCGTCTTCAAGGGGTTGAGAACACCTAGTTTGACGTCGTTCATCAAACCTGACCTAATCACTGTTCGAGATCGCCGTGCAACTGTAATAGACGTCAGCATAGTCTCGGATGGGCGCGGAGTGACTGTGTGGAATGAGAAGAAGCAGAAGTGTGGTGCTGCTGAATATCCCCTCGCCACAATCTCAGCCATACGTGCAATCGTTTATGATGTGGACCTTTTGGTCCACTTGCTTGTCCTTTCCTAGTTTGTTGGCCTCTACACGTTGGGATTCATCTTGTGTGAGTGGAACTGTTGCTGGCATGACTTCAAATGATATGCTTCTCTCTGCCTACCTAACATTCTCCTGTAAACTTTCCACATTCATCCGTTGCACTTTTATACCTGCGAACATGCTCTTCAAAAATAAACAGTAGTAATATCCTTGTTATCTAATCTGACAAAATGAGGCCAATATAGAAATTTCACAATTTAAGACAGCCCGTCAAATGAACACGGGTTCTTCACCTTACTTTCACTCTCTATGGAGTGACATTGAAGTGAACATCTAAGTGGTCTTCCGTTCCACTGTGGACTCGACTCTATTATGTTTCGCCTCTACATTCCATGTTGTAGGCTGAGTGAGAAATTTGGAATAGACGCTTGTTTTTATAGCTTTCGGTTTTCTAGCGAGTCTTGTTAGTTTCTCTCTTGTTCGAAACTTAACTTCTTGATACGACCAGGGAATTTTCACTGGCCGCAAACAGCAGAGACTCCAGAGAACGGATGTTCTTTTCCTCCGTCAGAAGATGCCACTGGTTAAGTAGATTCAGTTCAAGACAGGCAGTGATGAGTTTCATATCGGGCGCTAGAAGAAGACTGGACAAATCACAGACTATGATGAATGGACTTGCAGTGAATCGATTGCCGTGAACTGCGTGCAATAAAGTAGGTGGAAATCAGATGTACTTTACTGCACTTCATTCCTTAAGGACACCAAACTGCGATGACGCTTCTTGAGTGTGCGCTAAGAACTTATGCTTTGTTCATCCATTCAAGAACTTCACAGTTATGAGTTAAGTATAAGGGCTGTGGAAGTTTTGGACTACTGATTTTGAACTACTGCAGGTCAATTCTCACACTACTGCTCGTGAAATCGATCTACTTTATCTCAACAAGGTGCTACCGGAGAAAATCAATCAACCGGAGACAGCTACGCAGCCCAACTGCAGCTATGGTGTGGCGATGACGTAGAATATCGTATTTTGGTCAACTGTTTACTTTCTTTTCTAAAATTGACTTGTTTACCTGTCTTGTGTACTTGCGGGTAAAGACAAAATGCTGATAACAATGTTGTGGAATGTAGGTAGCTCGGGTGTGCTGTTTGGTTGTTGGTCTGTTCGCCGAGCTTGACAGTTGGATTGCAAATGTTTCATCATCAATCGAGGTGACATCGTCAGTGCAGGGTTGAGTGGGTCACTCACTCAAGCTCGGCCAACAGACCAACAACAAAATGCTGATGTCTGGATGTCCCAACAGTGTAACCTCAGTCATTTTGTGCAAGTTAGAAAAGGTTGGCTATCAAACTCCAACGCAATAATAGAATGCTGGTGTTACAATTATCGGAAACCAAAACATCAAGGTTTCAAATTAACCAGAAATATGCCAACAGAACGAATAGAGGAAGAAATCTGAAGTTTCTAGGAACTACACTAAACTGAACGTGTTACCGCTAGTTACTCAGAACACATATTTTTTCGTATCGGACATTTCAAACGCACCTGGTCTCCATCATTATCATCATTGACCGGTGTACAAATATCATTTAATTAATAGCTTTATTGTAAAGAACAATAAAATTAAAATGCGATGGAACCTAGTGCTAGTCTACCACAATGAATACACAGTGCCTACACTTCCAGGCCCTAAATTGGGCACCTGATAGAAACTGGCGGTAGGAACGCCATTTGTATGATTAGTACCTGTATTTCGCAGCGTTTCTAACCAGGTGCACTGGAGATCATGCGGACCGCATCCCCGGAAGTGGGAAACAATGATAGCTAATTATTTCATAGTTTTCTGCCAGGTCAAAGGTTGATCATCACATTACTTGCGCTACTGTAATTTAGACACAGAGAACAGTACTCTCTTAGACAAACAATATTTCTACATGCGCAATGCATGACCTAGCCACCGCAGCTTTTGGCGCTGGAAACAACTTTAACTGAAATCCCAATTACACGACTAAAAACTCGTATGCTTCCTCGTCGAAATTCAGCGCCCACCAAAAGTAAATGGCAAATTTTCAGCTCGTTTTTCTGCAAATTACCTCCTGAATAGAGGAACGGGATGAGCTGGCCACAAACTCACTAACTGAATCCACAGTGGATGTGAGCTGGATGACCGGTTTACCAACTTAGCTGTCGGGAAGCGATTCTTGTGTGAAATTTCCTCCACTAATCGATGCTTAATCCGACATAAACTAGACGTAACGTTTAATGCACGTGTTCTTCATAGATTCCTACAAACAGCAGTTCAACCGTCGGATGGCTCACACTCCGACATTTTGATTAAGTACTGTTTATTTATGGTAGCTTCAGAAGATTTCGTAATTTTCAAAGAGATTTTGTCCAGCAAATGAAGCCATTCTATATTAAACAACCGAGAAGCACCATACAGCTGTTTCATCCTCATTGGGAATAATCAAGAGTGTACACCTAACGGAAATCGAACCCTCAAACTCCTGATTAACAATTTAGATAATTAAACGTTTTGCCGCGAGTTTACGGTCAGCAGTGTGAGTAACTCGCACCTGGACAGAATATAGCTAAGTTGATTTTTTGATCACGGAAAAAACGTCACGTGATCAAGTCCTGACTGGCTCATCAAGAGACAACCTCTCAAAAGAAAGTTTCACCCGCCTTCCTCTGAGCTACTTAAGTGATATTTAGTGCTTTAGCGTTTTTGAAATCATTTTGAGTCTGAACTTGCTAACTTATCATTTGTCCTTCAACTAACCATTCGGTTTTCCTGACTTATACAGGGTGCTGCTTTAACAGATTCGCTTTATTTTCGCTGTCCAACTTGTCCAAGTATCAGTGTGTGTTCTTCCGTGCTTTAATGGTGTTCGTTAGTTATGCGCCTGTTAAGAGAGGCTCTTACAGAGAGGCTTATACAAACACTCGGTGTAAATTTAATTTTAGCGACCATTAGCCTAGTTTGAAAGAACAATCGACGTACTCAAAACCCGTACGGTTCAAGAAAGAAAATAGTTATTTGTGGTAGTTCAGGAAGGCAGTGGGTCCCTAGATCACGAGGCCGTTAATTTTGCATATCTTGAAAGTCAGCCTTTCTATACCTCCTTCAGGACACAAATATGAAACGGCTTCAAAGGACATGTGGGATAGACTAGTCGCGAGACGTTCTCGCATGCACAAACTGTTATAATAGAGTGTGAACTAAAGATGTGTGTTTCACTTGAATGTTCACATGGGGTACGGCTATTGTAACAGAAGAGTAGTTAAAAACAAACCATACAATTTATAGTAGTCCATCAAACTAATTTTTGGAAGAGATGGACAACTCCCTGGAACGCCTATGGCGACTTTTCCATCAGACTGTAACAAATGCGGCATCCCGTCATAATCAATAATCACTTACTTCTGTTGCCCGTGACAATATCTTTCGGAATGGGACAGTTACACTTGATAACTGATATAAGTTTCCCTTGGGCTGCCTGAACGTCGGTTGGTGACTAGCTGGTCTTGTTTGTTCACTAGGTTTTGCGTAAAAGTTTGACAGGATGAGCCGTCCGAAAACTGCCTATACAGCAAGACTGTAGACAAAACTGTTGGTGGCAGTTGCTCACAGCCACCGCAGTACAATTCGCCGTCCGAAAACTGCCTATACAACAAGACTGTAGGCAAAACTATTGGTGGCAGTTGCTCACAGCCACCGCAGTTACCAGTGTTTCGGCTGACTGTGCCCTTTTGGTATCCAGATGAAGTCAAAACTTCTCGTTTTTCGAAACTAATCTAACCATCCGACCGACTTTGCAGCCACTTGGTCTAATGTTTACTAGATGCGCAGAAGTGCTGAGTACACTAACGGTTTTAGTATGAACGTCGAAGAGTAAAACAAGTCCTCTTTCTCGAAAAGAACCAAAAAAGTGTTGGAATTTGTGTACTATTTTTCCTGTTTGGAGTTGCAATGAAGATTTCACCCCTTCCTTTTTTGCCAGATGGCAACGAGCCCTTTTAAATGATCACTGCCAACTGGAAATCAATGTTTGCAGAATGACAATAATATCTTACTAGACCTTCCGAAATTATTCTGTTTGTTTTATTCCTGAAATCATCTACAAGAACATAATTTCTCCTCGTGAACTTAGCTTACATCAAAATAATTTTTGAACAGTGCCCTGCTTTAATTATAACTCCATGCGAATCGCATCCGAGTGCACGATCCAGTGAGTAACTTTGCTAAACCGACGCGTCCATGTTTGATTTTTTGTCCTTTCCCCAGAAAGTCCATCTAACCGTTAGAAATTTCAAGGGTTAATCGACTAGGTTTATGAAATACTTGAAGCCCTAGTAGGTCGTTGCAAACAATGAACCGAATTTTTTAGCTGACTCAACAAACACAGGCAATGTCAGTTACTGGTCACTCGATTTACAGAGTTGATTATAAAACTACCATGTAGGACAGATAGATTACCGTTTGAAAGACCCTACCTGAACTTGAATACTCGTTTTATTTCTGTCAGTCAACGCAAATCAAAGTCACTCTAATTCATGACCACGTTTCTAGAATGTCCACGTGCCTGTGTACGATCATTTGCATCCT